TTTGCTATTCCTATAGAAACACAAGAAACACAAGTCCTGCACATGAGACGGCAGAAATTATATTTTCTCGGTAATTCTGAATATTCAAGCCCTTATCCCCAGTGTGATGGCCTTTGGAGATGGAGTTTTAGGGAATTAGGATTAGATGAGGTCATGAGGGTAGGTCCCTCATGATGAGATTAGTGTCCTTATGAGAGAGACACCAGAGAGCTTGCACTCCCTCCTACCATTCCTGCCTCCCTCCCTTTTTCTTCAAGCACACACAAGGAGAGGCAACTCTGGAACACAGCTAAAGGCAACCACCTATAAGGCAGGAAAAGAGCTCTCACCAGAAACTGAACTGACCCATGCCTTGCTTGGACTTCCAGCCTCTAAACCTTGAGAAGTATTTCTGATGTTAAAGCCATTCAATCTATGGAATTTTGTTCTGGCAGACTGAGCCAACAGCAAGCATTCTCTAGGATTGTCATGGCGCCTGAGTCTTCGATATGTACATGTTGAAAGAAGACCACCCTCATGCAGTCAGAGAAATATGGAATGTACCATCAAATATGGCAGATACTCTTATGTTTTTAATGTTTAATGTTCAAGTGAAGATAGCCAATATTGTTAAACATGATCTCACACATGGTTGTTTTGTTAGGAGTAGGAATTGCCTGAACTAGACTGTAAAGTACTTTAAGTAAGTACTCACATGGAAAATGAATGAACACCTCTTTGGAGGATAGGAGTTGTAAAAGTATATTAGTCAGGCCATGGCTGGGTAGATCAATTGGTTGTAGCATTGTCCCAATACCGCAAGATTTCGGATTCAATCCCTAGTTGGGGCACATACAAGAATCAACAATGAAGGTATAAATAAGTGGGACAAAAAATGGATGTCTCTTTCTCTCTAAAATCAATTTAAAAAAAATTAAAATATAATGGTCAGAATTAAATAAGAAAATTAGTACAACAAAACCAAATCCTGAAGCACGTCATTTTTAGCACTATAATAATTTCCATGGTATGGCTCTTAGCTCCATTGGAAATGACAATGCAAGTGTCACTCTGAACATCATATATCTTAAGTAGCATATTGTCCATTCTCATCCTTTCAGAACCAACTGAAATGTCTTCTCTTCTGTGACTTTTCTAAATGTCATTTGAAAAATGGCATTTGTATTTTTTTACATTCCATGGTCCCTATACAAAATTTATTTATCTTGCTTCAAGGTTTTCATTGCAAATTGCTTTGTCTTTCATAAGACATTTATCATATTATAGGAAGATGGTGTCCTTTCTTTCTTGCTAGACAGTGAACTCTCTATGGGCAAGCCCATGGACATGGAATCTCCTCAATAAAAGCTTGATTGAATGAATGAATGAATGAATGCTCCTTTGTATATGATTCATTTCTCACTTACCCCAGACTTCCAAAGACTCTGATTTAGTTACCAGACTGAGGCTTTCTCTGCCTCCATCTGCCCATCATAATAATAAAAGTCTAATATGCAAATGGTTGTCACACTGTGATGCCTTAACAACTAATCAGCAGGGACCTAAAGCTGTGTGGCACCTGGTAGGGTAGGGGAACTCAAGCCATGCCTGCCACCTGGCAGGGCTTGATGGGAGATCTCAGGTCACACCCTACACCCCAATGCTGGGTCGGGGGACCTGAGGCTGCACCCTCTGCCTGGTGGGACTTGATGGAGGTGAGGCCGGCTGGGTCTGGGTCTCCTGCAATTTCAAGGTGTGTTTGGGCAGGCTAAGACTTAACTCAAGGTCCTGCAGCATGCTTCCAACTCTGACAAGAGGGAGATTTTCATATACATTTTACTAATTTCATGCACCAGGCTGCTAGTCTATTATATGATACTATAAACAATAGTAAACATTGTCATTTTTGTTTTTCTGATCCCAGAATCTTTAATAAGCAATGAGAGCTACTGAGATGCAGAGCCAGTAAGATATATATAACCTTATTATTCAATACTATTTGTCCACAGTTGCCAAAAGTCCTCCAGCATAAAATGGGCTATTATGTAGCCTAATCTGAGAGATCCATTCTCATGTTTATTAGAGAATGACTCTTGTGGGTTGTGGTCTTGACCAACCTTTTTTAAATAAAATAAAACCAATTATTTTTATAACAATCCAAATGCTAAATTTTGTTAAATAATGAACTATGTTTTCAGGATAGATTCTGTAGCAGAACTTTCCATCAGCTACTAAATCTGTTGTGTTCAAGGATGAAGAAGGAAGAGATTTGTCCCAAGTGCCTGAATGTCTTGGTACATCTTCTCTCCCTTCTCCTGTGCTAGAATCTAGCCTATGTTTCATTCCTTATGAATCTTGATCATGGTTGGCTATGTCCTATATGCTATACTCAAGGAATCTCCTCCTGGATTAAATAATCAAAGACCTAACAAGACAGCATGCATAGGGATATATCACAGTAGAATGACACAGAGTAAAGTTGACTTTTTAAACAAGATTTCTGACCTCATATAACACTAGGTAGGCAGCCATCCCTGAGGCAGCAATGATAGATGTGGCCATACTAAGTGATATGTAGTTCTTAATTTATTTTTTCTACCTCCCTCCTTTCTTTTCTTATTGCCTTCCTTCCTTCCTCCCTTCCTCACTCTCTTTCTTTTTTCCTTCCTTCTTTTCTATCTTCTTCCTTACTTTCTTTTTTCCTTCCTTATTTCCTTCCTTCTTTTCTTTTCCTTCTGGGAGTACTTAAGTGAGTACCTAATATGACCTTGGCACTGTCCTCGGCTTGGAGGAAATAGCAGTGAATAAGACCAGGTCCCTACACCCTATGAAGCTTCCACTCTGATAGAAGAGATAATAAATAAGTAAATAAATAATTTGCAATTCAAGGGATAAACTATTTTATGAGAAAACAAAAATGAACAAAGGATATGGCAGTTCCTAAAAAATTTAACCATAAAATTAACATATAATCCACCACTTCCACTTCTGGGTGTATACCCAAGAGAATAAAGCAGGGTCTCAAACAGATATTTGTATGCTCAGATTCATAACAGCATTATTCAAAAAGCCCAAAGGTGAAGGCAACCCATCAAAGTCCATCAATGAATGAATAAACAAAATGTGATCTATAATACAATGGATTATTCAACTTTATAAAGGAAGGAAACATGCTATAACATGGATGAACCTTGAAGACATTAGACTAAGAGAAATAAGCCAGTCACTAAAGGACATGGGGTACTCAGAGTTGTTTCTACTTACATGGGGTACTTAGAGTTGTCAAAGTCATAGAGACCGAAAGGAAGATAATGGTTTCCAGGAGCTATGGAGAAGGAAATGGATGGAAATTTTTGTTTAACGGGTACAGAGCATATTAAGGAAGATGAAGAGGTTCTAGGAATGGATGGTGAGGATGGTTGAGCAGTAATGTGAATATACTTATGCCACTGAAGTATACACTTTAAAATGGTTAAAATGGTAAGTGTTATGGTATGTATATTTTAACATGGAATGTCATAGGGATTTTATAACTTTGGGGATTTTGTTGTAACTGCAACAGAATGCCTTTGAAGGATTTTGATCAGTTAAAGAACATGATCTTCTTTACTGGTTTGAAAGATCATACTGGCTGCTGTGTGAGAAGTAGACTGACAGAAGGAACCTGGAGCCTTAGACAACTAAGAGACTATGTCAGTTGTCTAAGTGAGTAACTGGTGGCTCAGGTGGTGTTGAGCTAATGGGACAAGTTTGAAAAGTGGTTGGATTAGGATATATTTTCAAGGTAGAATCATCATGACTTGCCGGTGGATTTGATGTGGGGTATGAGGTTTGATGTCTCAGTTTTTAACTGAGCAACAGAGTGAAAGGGGGTGCCATCCACTGAGATAGAAATGACTGGTGAAATCTTGTTAGCAAATGGCAAAGAGCAATTGGGGAGGCAATTAAAAGAAGTTTCACAGAAAAATGAAATAATAAGCCCAGTTTCTAGCAGGGTGCTAGCACATACAAGCCATTTGTTAAATACTTGAAGGAAAGAATGAACTAATTAATTAATTAAATTGCATGGATAAATGGGGGGAAGGAGGAAGAAAGAAAACTAATTCTAAATTTTACAAAATGTGAAGAAATTTTTGTAAAATGATATGATCCTAAAGACCCCAGGCTAAAATTCAAAAGTCCGGAGTTCCAGTTTCAGAAAATATATCTTAACCTCAGATCCTCCTCTCAGCTTTTATTCTTGGACCTCCTGCCTTTCCTCCTCTGCAGGGAAAGTGCTCACACTTTTTTTTTCATCTCAGCCAGCAAGCCGATAGCCCTTGTATCCCTGGGCATAAACACAGAGCTCACAACCCTGGAGCAGGGAAAAGACAATCAGTAAGCTCCTCCAGCTTTCCATTCACCAACCATGCCTTCCCCATCCCACACAAACCATAGGCATCCCCACATAGGCATGTGGAGCAGGGCCTTCAGCAATCCAGACCAATTCCCATAGAGCCAGTCCTCCAGAGAGTCTCACTTTGTAAGGGCTAGCTTTGAAGCAAGCAGGAGGCAAGATTAGATTGTTCCATTAATTGGCTGGACTTGCTTTGACTGATCCGCTAAATGCTCTTACTAAGCCTCCAGGCTGGTTTCTACTGATAGCCCCATAGAAAGGGAGAGCAATTAGGGGGAAAGTAATATTTTTTAATAAATTATTGTTGATTTCAGTGAAGAAGGGAAAGGGAGAGAGAGATAGAAACATCAATGATGAGAATCATTGATTGGCTGTCTCCTGCACACCCCCTACTGGGGATCGAGCCCACAACCCAGGCATGTCCCCTTGACTGAAATCGAACCAGGAACTTTTCAGTCCGTAATCTAAGGCTCTATCCACTGAGCCAAACCAGCTAGGGAAATGGGAAGAAAATATTTAAGTCACTTTCACAGTTGAGGGTGAATAATGCAAAATGAGAATTGCAAAACAACCTTGCCTCTCAGGTTTTCACACATTAACCACTTTTGTACTGGCTCTTCCACAGGACTGAGAGTGCAGAGCATGCCTACATCATCCCCCTTGCCTGTTTCTTTGATGGAAAAGATTATCTCGCCAACGCCAACGACCTTCTGGACAAACTCTCCACAGAGCCCTCCCGCCTCCCCCACCAGCAGCACACCCAGCAACTCAGTGCCCCCCATTACAGTGACATCCGTACAGACATCTGTAACCCCCAAAAATGTTGTCATGGTGCCCACAGGACAGGAGACCACCTTGACCTTGGAAGATCCAAATACAGATGCCTTATCAACAAGCAGTGAGGTTCCCTTAACACCCACACCCACAGAGCACAGCTCGGGCACTCCAGAGGCAAGTGTGTCAGCTACAGGGTCGAGGTTCCTAAGTGAGTCTCCTTCACCTACCTATGCTCAAACTTCAGCCTCCTCACCCCCAGCCCTATCAACCTCACCACCACCAATTCTATCAACCTCACCCCCAGAGGTTTCTTCTGTATCGGACAACACCAACCACAGTTCCACTGAGACCAGCACCAAGACCACAGGAGCCCCAACCACACGCGAGTCCCCAGCACAGGAGCACAGCTCTGGCCACACCCCCACTTCACATGTCACGTCGGAGCTGGTGCCCACGGAGAAAATGCCACAAACAACTGTGCCAGCCAAAGTGACCTGTATCCTGGTAGATATTGAGACCACCACCGCCTCCCCCAGGGTGATCATGCAGGAAGTGGAACATGCACTAAGTTCAGGTGAGTCTCCGTTTAGAACCCTACTACCATTTTGACCATGAGATGTTAAGAAAGCAACTCAGTTAACCAAACACAACTTGTCAACTTTGAATTTTGGAGTGAAACCCAAGCTGAAGTATAATTCCCCAAAATTTCCAAATGATATCTCAATACTTGTGGCCAATTACCAATTTTATGATTTGTCACATAGAATGTAAATGAATGACAATGTGTAAGCAAAGGCATTAACAGCATGGCACTTGGTCAAGCTTCCCAGGTTTCAATTCTGGCCCTTGACCTTAGGCAAGTTAATTCATCACTTTGTGGCCTTATTCATCCTCACCTATAAAATGGGCATACAAGAGGTTCTATGGCATATGGTTCTTGTGGAGATTAAATGAGATGATATATAAAGTGCTTAGAACAGTTCCTGACAGGGATTAGGTGCTCAGGAGATATCAGTTATTTTTAAAATTTTGCTCTGTACTAACAAAGTGTTTACGAAAACCAGTCTAAAAAAGTAAGAGAGGGATATAGAGAACTTATTTATTCTTTAGAGTCATTGATATATTTCAGGAGGAACCCAGTAAATTTTATAGGTTGTCACATTTGTTTTGATTTTCCCAGCAACCCTGTAAAGTTAGTATTATTTTATCTTGATTTTGCAATCTCGGAAATTATGATGGAGAGAGATTTAGGGTCTTTTCTGAGGTCGCAAGCATCTGGCCTTGGCATGGAAACTGTAAACTTTAGGCAACTGAGCAGGAAAATAATTTAGTGGGAACATTTGGAGTTTTTATTAAGAAACAGGGAAGTAAGAACAGTCAGGTGAAGGGGAAATATGGGGCTGAAGCTCTTTTCTGGGTAGTCCTGCATAGGGGTGGACTGAGAGGGGAATATTCCAGACACACCACCTGAGGTCAAAGAAATGGCTGTGAGGAGAAATTAACATCTTTGGGAAAAAAATATAAACAATCACTATGAATAGAAACTTTATTAGACAGTAAAGGTGGGGAGAGATACAGCTAAGATGAACAAGATGTGATTCTTCATGGAAGCACTCATAATTTACTAGGGAATAAAACCCCAAAGAATTACAAATACTTATTTCAAAAGCCTAGTAGACCAGTGAAAGTCCCATCAAGAAAGGGAGGTTCAATCAAACCGACATAAAGGAATTCATTACAAAGGTTTGGCTATCATGCAGGGGAACCACAGGGGACCATAATGGCAGAGTTGCTGTGAGTCAGGCCTAGGAGGAAAGACATGTAACCAGAACCCAAAGGAGAAACTCTTGTAGAATAGACCACCTTGAGAGCAGCAATGACTCTGGGTTGAGAGACACAACTAACCCAAAGTTAACCTCCTGAGAGTGAAGGGAATCAGTATTCTGGCCTCTGTCTCCCCTTTCCAAGCTCTGATATACAGAAGCCAAGGACAGGGAAACCCATTGATGTGGTCCATACAGGTCAGCCTCCTGGAGGCCTGGGCAGAGAGCAGAGTGGAGAAGTGTGGGAGTAGATCCTGAGAGGCAAAAGGAAGAAATCTAGCACATCAGATTCAAAGGTAGATTCCTCTGTGCAGTTCCCTTCCCATAAGCACCCCTGATAATACCTCCAGCCAGCACTTATCACACCGCATTTAGATGTGCCCTTTCTGTCTCTCTGTCTCTGTCTCTGTCTCTGTCCCACTTCTCACCTGCCACCTTGCCTGATAGTTTCCATGCTCGCAACATGCAGGTAATATCTCTAGCATAGTCTAGGAACCTGGAGCAGAATGGGTGTTGATTTGACTCAGTGTCTAAAGGACTGTCCCTAACCAAGGTGCCCTAAAAGGCAGCTTGCTGGCAGTGGCCCTATCTCTTCTCTCTGTCCTAGTTCAGGTCCTCATCGCCACCTGTGTGCACTGCTTCTTAAGTTTTCTCACTGATCTCCCTTTCACCGCTCTCTACCCACTCCAGAGTACTCCAGACATGGTGGATCCACACATTCTGAGATGGGCATGTAAGAATCTCCATAATCTGATAGGTCTTACTACTTTACACAAGTGCCTTAGGTTCATGGGCTAGAATATCTAAAACAGTCCTGTTCCAATATTCTGGCTCCTGTGTTAGACCATGTATCTTAATTTCCTCAACTCTAAGCCAGCAAGGTCAAGAGACACAAAATTAGTGTCAGAGCTGGTCATGACCCTATAAAGTTCCAGAGGATATTGTAGCTGGCAGAAACTCCAGAGTTATGAAGGAAGGAAGGATTGAATGACTGGACAAAAAGTAAATGTGGCAGGTTAGAGGGAGATCGCTGAGCAAGGACCAGACTCCATTTCACAGACCAAAGAGGATTTATCCCTTGTTAAACAAAAGACTATGAAGTATGCCTTTCCTAGGACCCTGTGCTTGATGCAAAGAAGCATAAGGAGTATGAGACCTGTCCTTTTGGATTTCAAGTCACTCTTAATATGAATGAGAATGAACAAGGTGGAGGGATGTTTGAGCAGATGTGATACAATCTGTTCATTTCAAAGGTGAAGAAATTACGTCCCAGAAGTTTGGAGTGCCTCACACAAGGTTACACCACTTAGTGGCAGAGCTGGGCTCAGAGCCCAGATCCTCAAAACCACAATCAAGTCTTCTTTCAGCACCCATCACTGTTGCACTGCTCCTCTCTCAGCCCCACACATCAAGCAGCACCCTGAGACTGCTCACTGGTTGCTATTTAGGGATGTTTTTGTTTAGAGATTGTTGTGCTGCCTGAACAGTGTATATAATATACAGGCAGTCCTTGGGTTACGTTGGACTCAACGTACGCTGTTTCATGGTTACATTGCCATCTCCCATTTATTTATTTATTTTTAAATTTCCATCATTTCGATGTATGTACATATGTGCTTTATGTTTTTTATTATTTATTTACCACAAGGTCAGGGATTATTAGCTTTCTTTGAAATTTTTTTACTGTTTCATTTCATTACTGCTGTGTATGTGCTCCATGTGAGTGACGTATGTGCTTATGGGGGTGGGTTCCAACTTACGGTGAAAACCTCATGCAGTAGGAACGGATCTCCCACATAACCCAAGGACCTACTGTAGTAATAATATCACACTGTTACTTAGCATCTTGTCTTATTCTGTGGAGGTTCACATTTTATATTTCTATTAATCCAAGAATTCAACCATCCATAGTCACCAATAAGTAATTCTAAAACAAGATTAAAGCTAGTGGAGTTCAATTTGACTAGAGGAATTAGGGAAGATCCCATGATGGTGCCAAGTTGTAGGAGATAAAGAAAATTTAGGCCTAAGGAGGCAATTGGGGCACTTTGTGCAAAAGTGATAGTTGATGATGCACTCACCTGACCTCAGAATGCTCTCAGAAATTATAAGCACCAAAATTGCTTTGTCAAGGTATCTAGTGCCCTCCACTTTGCCAAGTGTGGTGTGAATCCTTAGGCCTGGCTTGATCTGACCTATCAGCAGCATTTGACACAGATGGTCACTGCCCTCATTTTTATAACACTGTCCACTTGGCCTCTAGGACACAATCCCTATTACTTCTTCACCTACCTGGCTGGCTGCCTTATTTCACCCTCATCTTCCTACACTGGAGCACCCCAGGGCCAGTACTGCCCTCCTCTCTCCCTGAACTCTCTACACTCACTCCTGAGATGACCTCATCCTGTCTCATGACTTAAAATGCCATCCATGTGCTGATAATCCTGACATGTAAAATCCTACACCTGTTTAGCTTCATTGAACATGTCTTTAAACATGTAAATCCAGCTGTCAGCTAACTCACACTCCTCACGTGGGTGGCTCATAGGCCTCGCACACTTAATATGTATAACATGAATTACTGATTTCCTCAACCTTCAGTCTGCTACTCCCTCAACCTCTCTCCCTCTCTTCTTGCAGTTATGGAGACTAAAAACATTGGGCTAATTCTACACTCCTTTCTTTCTCACGTATTCCAGTCCATCAGAACCTAGTCTCCTCTCACCCTCTGTCCTCTCTAAAATAAATTTGCATCATAGTAGCTACTGAGCAAAGTGTGACTTTAATATTCCTTCATCTGAACTCACTACTCATCATCCTTGCCAGAGAGATCCTTTTGAAACTGAGGACAAACCTGTCACTTCTCAGCTCTAACACTCCCTTGGCTTTCCCTGAATCTGAGCAAAGCTCATGTCTGTGTCATGTCTACAGTGCTCAGCATGATCCGAACCCACACAGCCTCCCTGCTTTCACTTCCTTTCTCTTTTACCAGCAGACATACTGGCAGTCTTACTATTCTCAAACAGACCAAGGACATTCTTGCCTCAGGGGCTGTGTACTTACTACTTCCTGTGCCTAATACAGTCGCCTGCCAGGTCTTTCGGCTCACTCCTTGTCAGAAATGACAGCTACCTGAAGTCTTGACTCACGAAAAGGAAGCCTTCACTCACACTCCTGTCTGAAATAATAAACTCATCACCATTGATCCCTTCAATGCTGCTCTGTTTTCCATTTGATCACTTAGTATCACTTTCTGACTTTATCTCACTTACTTGGTGAGTAGGTGTCTGTTTTCTACCACTAGACTGTCAGCTCCAGGAAAGCAAGGAATCTTGTTCACAAACAGGAAGATGTATATTACTCCCAACCCCTAGAACTGAGCCTCAATAACCAACCAGTTCCAGAGAAGATATTTCATCTCTCTAAGTCTCGGCCTTCTCATCAGGAAGAGGGGGAAAGGATAGTCACATGACGGTATTATTGTCAGGTCTTGTTGGGAAAATAACTTTGCATCATAGTAGCTACTGAGCGATGGCTCTGTCGATAACTGAGATTATTATTTTCCTACAACATCATTTTATGATTTATTATTATTGTTACCATTTTGCTATTGTCCTTCTTCTTGTTGCTGATACAGTTATCAGAAAGAAGAATGCCCACTATTTCAACAAACTTTAATTGAGTTTTTGCAATGAGTTGGGCGTCTGGTTAAGTACTGGGAATTCAGCAATAAATAAAATGGTTACTCCCT